CTGCTGTCCCCTCTGTCTTGTTAGCATGTTGTTCTAGCACTTTGCTGCTGTCCCCTCTGTCTTGTTAGCATGTTGTTCTAGCACTTTGCTGCTGTCCCCTGGTGTTCCAGCATCCTGCTGGTAGTAACCTGTTTTGCTGGCTACATTAGTGTTAGCATGTTGCTCCAGCATTCTGCCAGGGTTCCTCACCCTGTTAACCTACTGTGTTCCCTACTTCAGTGTCAGCATGATGCTCATGCTACTCAGCCTTGCATTAGCATGACTCTTCAGCCTTGTGACTCGCAGCATCAATGCCCCACATGACGGCTCTCCTTTCTACCTGCTCCCTCAGCTTTATACAGCCATGCTATAGCCTGTGCGTGGCTGTGAGGGACAGCTGTGCCCCAGTGCTGGCCTGCCAGGGGCATGAGTGGCCCAGTGAACTGGACTGTGACCGCTTCCCGGCCCAGGAGGACATGTGTCTGTCACCCATTCAGAAACACACCAGCCTCTTCTCTAAAGGTCAGCCCTACCTCGGACGCATGGTCAGCATACGCGTGTTTGGCTGTGTGTTGCGTGGTTGCAGAGGTGGAAAGTTCAGGTTCAGAAAGTACAAATACAGACCAAGATTTTGTTTCAACCAACCAGTTGAGCATAAAGAGTCACAGTCACAGAGGACTCAACTGGTTGGCTGGAACAAAATCGTAGTCTGGATTTGGACCTGAACTTCCCACCTCTACGTGGTTGATCCTGTGTATCTGTGCCGCTCACCTGGCTCTGCCCTCTCTCAGGTTTGCCCCAGCCTGCCTGTCAGGACTGCCCCATGGTGGTAGGGTTACCTCCTCTCAAGCGGGTCCTGGACGCCCTCTGCCTCAATGACTTCGGTAGGTGCCACCAACCACTTTCTAAGTTTAATGCAGTGTGTGCATCTAGTTAGAACCAGTCAGCCTCTTATGGGACATAGGCAGCTGCCTAGGGCGTCCTCTACTGGCAGGGTGCCAATTTAGCAAACTGCAAGCTTCACCATCGAAGACGAAGTGAAATTAGGCGGGAAAGGTGGGCAGGTGGGGCTCTAGTGTTGAAAATTGCCAAAGGTTCCATGTGGTCTTCAACAAACACTGCATCTAGGTAAGTTGGCCTGCCTCCCAGAATGCACCTGACTCAGCTCCTCCCCATCTCTACCCCCTGCAGCTGTCAAGGCCAAGCTGTCCCGCCAGCACCTGCCATCGGGGGAGGCAGAGTTCACGGTGGAGGGCCGGGTGGAGTTTGTGCGCCAGGGTCCCCTACTGCCTTACGACACCCAGAGCATGCTACGCCAGTGGCTACTCATCAACCGCGGATGTGCCCAAACGCTGCTCCGGCCTGGTCACTCTCAGCTGTACCTGCTGACCGGCACGGTGCGGTCCGACGGCACGGTGACCCTCGACAGCCTCTTCCCCTGGCACAAGAAAGACGCCCACCTCGTCCTGGCCACCCGCAAGTGGAAACACCACCGGTGCTGAGCGACAGCGCCTCCGCGATGGCTTAACATCCTCTACTCCAAGCTGGATTTGCTCGCAGCAGTACGAGTCGGATATTACCCTAGGAGATCTCGTGTGGGACGGACGGAGATAGATAAAAACTTAAATCCAGGGCTCAGTGAAGGGGCAGTAATGCAAGTGGGTTACCCTGACACATACCCGAGACAGGGACAAAGCAGCTTGGCAGTTTTCTTTTATAACGCCACCTTGTGGCCATCTGTAGCTGAGCCACAAGACTCATAAAAGATATGAAATGCACTCTGTACATATTTTAACTATATATGACTTGTAAATAGTTATTATTATTGAAATGTTATATTTAAAAAGTTTTGTCAGTCGTATATGAAAAGTATGTAAAATAAAAACTTTATTAGATAATCGGTCTCATTTATTTATGTTTTTTCAGAATGGAGAGAAAGGCTTTATTTCAAGATTAAATTTGTTTTAAATGGCAGCTAAAGTCATAGTCTTCAGATTTTTTGATGGGGTACCAATATAATGAATTAAGATAATCACTGGTAAACAATGGTGTACTTGTTGAGGCTGTCATATTAAATTTCAGCCAGCAGGTGGCAGCTTTAACCAGTTTATATAAACTGGATTTGAGGTAATTGCGCTATATGTTATAACAGTGTGTATTCATTAAATATATAAAAAGTGGCATAAGGCTGAATCTGTAATTGTAAAATTGACCTACCATAGTTAACACAATACTTATTAAGTTATTGTCTTAATTTCAGAGTGATCTGATTGACCTTATGTGTTTATTGTGCTCCGCCTGAGATAGCCTTAACGTATTTCAACGCTTCCATATTATTTAAGTACAGGAGCTGTACCCAGTGTCCTGCTGCTGTTTTACGAGGGGGATACGGCGCTATGTAGCTATGCTCAAAGCTAAAAGGTGATCCAATTGACTCCTTCGCTTAAGCCCTCTTTGCTAATTAATGGAAAGCGAAACCAGCTCCTGCGATGAGGCACTTCATGTATTCATGGGCCTGGATGGCGGCGTATTCAGCGCGGCGTTTTCCTCCCTGTCGTGAGGTCCTACACATCGCTAACTGTCATGGTAATATAAGTCTTTCGGAGCCCCCGCCCTCCCCCGAAACAATGCCCTGTGGGTCTTTGTGTGACGCTGAATGTGAACAGGGGCCCATCTCTGGGACAGAGTGTGAATAGGCCCCCGGCATTGATTCTCATCCTCGAACCTCATTAGGACTCTATAGGGACACAATGACACTCTGCACTACGGGACTTCTGCACTTCACTGGGGTCGTCTCGCAAAATGCCTGTTCGGCAGAGACTGGCCGATTGTTCCTTAATTCATGGGCTGCGGGCAGCTATTCAAAATATTAAGTGCAGGAACTGGAATACGAGTGAGTAAGCAGGAACTTTGGTACCTTTTTTAAAGCTATGGTATAAAGCAGGGCCCTTTCAGCTGGTGTGCCAAGGGGTGGGTCATTTTGTGCCATTGTTGCATTGTAATGGGATGGACCCTATTCTGCAGCCATTAAAAAAGTACATCAAAGGCATTTACATTCACAGCCTCCCTCTCTTGGAAAGCATCTGTCTCTACTTGATCTGTCATAACGGAATTATTATCTTACCGTGTTCAGCGTTAGAGATAAACCGGGGGATCAGAAGCAAAATCCAAACCCTAGATCAAAGAATCCGGCCATAACAGAGATTTACTCGATTAATAATCAGTGTTGAATTATTTAATTATCATTTCAGTTGTTTAGTTACTTTTCGCTTGCTGATAACTGAGCCAAATGTAATGAAAATGACTAATTAATAAAAGCAATACTTAAATCTTGTTTTCCACTTTTGATCAATAAATCCTGTTTTTCTAAGTTTTCTAAGCTTTGTAGCATTATTTTTGTCTGTTGCCACCTGTTGGTCAATATAACGATTGTATCCATCAAGGTTATGGGACAATTAATGTAAATTCCAAAAGTAACTTCCGGAAGGTTGTTGAAATATCCATAATGGTATGAATTTTTGAGTGAATGGCAAGTGAGAGACCATGCAGGAAACGGAGCTGAAGGGCAGGTCAGCCTTGTGCGGACCAGTCCTTATTCGGCATGCTTGTTTAGGGTTCAATGGTGCCTTATCACGGCGCACAGCAGGCACTCCCAGGAGAACAGATGTCCCCCCCGCTCAACAGACAAAGCCGTCCGCTATCGTGCGCAGCAGGGCATTGGCAGGAAGTACAATGCGCTAAACGTACGCAGGAAGACGACAAGAGGGGAGCATTGCGAAGGGCCAAGCTCACCCCAGGGAGAACCTCTCGTCTGCCAACTCCGGGGAGGGGAGGGGAGGGGAGGGGGGCACCTTTAGCTTCTCTGTGGCGTAAACAATGAGCCAGACCTTCAGGACTGATTGCCATGCCCGTTCCTCAACATCAGTACCCCCTTACCCCTCCCCCCCCCAACCCCAGCTGGACATGGTTGTTTCCTGTTCACCCCCGATCTTGTACTTCAGAAGTCTCCATTATTGATATGGAGATATACCAACTGGAACAGTTTTGGCACAGTGGGAGTCCATTCCGGAATGTCATGTCCCCACGTGAGCGGCTGTCGGATGTCGGATACGGATAATTAGCAGGGGATGCGGGCGTAGGATCTGTGCACGGTACGGAGGTTTTTATAGCCACAGAAATCGCAAGTTTCTGCCCTTTGAGAGGGACAACTGGTCGACAATTTTAAAATATAATGCCTCTGTTGTCAAAAAATCATAACGCTTTTTTGACCAAAAAGCATAATGTAGCACTTGCCCTTGTAAATCCTGCACAATCCTGTAAAACCTTTTCATCAAAAAAAAAAGTCCTGTTCCTAACGTAGTAAATTCGAAATCTTAATGTTCAAAATTACGTTCTGACACCCAAGATGAGTAAAACGACTTTTAAAGAAATGTTAGTCAGGTCAGACTGCCTGCATCTCCACCCAAACATCCCTGATGCCCAGTTGGAACCTGCTGGTACTTCATACCAACGCATGTCACTCAAAGTCTGACGCCCATCTCGTTTTCAAGATCTTTCAGTCTCGCATCGGCTCCTGGAAGGGGTTGGAAGATCGGAACCAGTAGATGCGGGGCTGGTTTGCTGGTCGCCTGCATGCGGCAGGAACTGACTGGGTGAAGTGGATGATCGAAGTGATGGAATCTTTGCTCTACAGCCACGTTCCACAGATCCTCATCCTCTGTTAACATGTCCGCCCTGTGCGAGTGAAGGCTCTGGTCCTAATCAGAGTCCTTATTAAATCTCAGTACCTGAGAGAGGCAGCAAAACAAATCCAATTAGTTTAATGGGATAATTTGATCAGTAAAGTTCAATGCACAAATTTAAACTTACATAGAACAGGAACAATGGGATGTTTTCTAAAGCAATTGAGTCGTATTTTTAGCAAATCCTAAAACATGACAAGAAAATATATTCCTTATTCTTTTTTCACATCCCGAGATGTGGAGCATTTAACCTTGTGCATTTTCACTTTTCCTTTTATAACATTATCTTCATTAAGCACGTAAATTATGTTTGGTCACATCTCCCATTGCTTTAATGGGCCCTGGATCAATGGCTCAATGATATGGGTAATTCTGGGTCTCTTAGAATTCTGGGGGGTATCCTTTACTAACACAGAAATCCTTTTGTGCCTTACAAGTGCTCAAGTGCACTGGCTCTACAGGAATATTCTGGGGATCCTGGCTCAACATCAAAATCCTCCAGACCTTAAAGCAGATTGTTCTATAAAACGAATTAGAAAATAGGACCTCAGTAATGATACTCCAGGCAGTACGTATGAACTACAACTGCAAGGTCTGAGTTTCTGAATCGACAAACCAAGTTGGCTGTCCCATTTGAGACGTCTGTTTTTGCTGCTGTCTACTAACATCCTAAATGTTGCGTTTTTAGAATTTAACGAAGTGTGTTATTTTTGAAGCAAGTTACTTAACTACAAACATGTCTTGCATATATGTGAAACACAAATGCAGAAAACATTTTGCTAGTGCTAAATCTATTTCTGTTTTAACGTGTCGAGTACATTTGTATATAGACACAAGCATCCCTGCTTCCATAAAAAAAAATAATAATAATAAAAAAAAAATAATAATAATAATAATAATATATATATATAACGACAAGAAATATAAAAACAATGTGTTTGGATTCACAGCCACGGATGTTTAAACTTGGAATGTAATCCGCACCACTTTTGAATTGTTCGACAGTTTTGTATCAATCATAAAGCAACCAAGCATGTTGTGTTTAATGCACCTTAGATGTCGTACCGTTCTGTGCTGAGGCTTCATGCCCCGCCCCCCCAGAGCCCCTGACCACGTTTCGCAGTTAGATCATGGGCACTGAGGGAATTTAATAGTCCGTAAAAACATTTTGCATGCATCACCGCGACAAAATATCTACATCAAGAGAGAAATAGAATGAAAAGTGTGCAGCCTAAACTGGATGCATATTAATACATTTTCCACAGATTCTCTAGATCTTATCATTTTCTAATTTCTCATAGCAGTTCTATCAAAACAACCCTTCATTTGTATTATATGTATCAAGATGAGAATTATAACAGTCATTACAAGATCAATAGGGAAGGACTAACGAGTGGCTCAACCAATTAATGCATATAAAAGTGACAACTATCATCTGCATGTACTTTGTGATAATTAAGTACAACACAAACATCAGTATCAGTTTATCTTGGATTTGGTTTATGAATATTTAAAAGAGGTCAGCAATTTTAGGTAAAGAAGTCTGATGACGTAATGCAGATCTATTTGGTACACAGTTTCTGTCCCTACTTGACGACTAGGTAATTAAAGTTATTCTAAAGCTTTTATACAAAAACACTACTATGTGCTATTCTAGTAAGTAGAAAGTTACACACAATAGTCCGCTAACTAAAGCTATCAAAACTTCAGCCTGACTCAAAAGAAAGTCTTTAAGATATATTCTGAAAGCAAGGACTATTTACTGCTTAAGAAGTCTGTTTGGTCCACAAGTTAAACTTTGGCCTGCAGTCCATTGTCTCTGGTGTCTATCATTTTATAGGCAAGCTGACATAATGAATGAGTTGGACACACCTTCTGCCCATCAGAATAGCCTACTTCTTATCTGAATTGAGAATCACATTAGACTCTCTGGGCCAATCACAGGGCACCTAAAGCTCTCTGAAAACCTAAAGAAAGGAAGGGGGAGAAGTTTTCTTGGATTTTATTAAGTTTTTCTAGCCCGAAGGGAATAGCTAGTGCTCCGAAGCTACACATGAGGCTTCAGTCAGTCCAAGATCTGCAGGACGAGTAGGTGAACGGTGGCCCTGTCCGGCCCTCACCATCCGCCAAGAGCATGATGCCATTTCGGAGGCTGAAGAGAGAGATGGTAGACTTGCCGCCTACACACCCTGGGTTCGGGAGTTCAGGGAAAAGTTTCCTCATTGACAATCTCCTGCGGTCCCCTACGTGCCCTGTGGCTCGCCGGCCACTGGCGGGCCCCCGGCTCTCGGGGCACGGCTGCCCGTGTCTTAGCGGGCCTGTCGCAGCCGCACACGGCGTGGGATGGGGCTCTCGGCGTGCCATGCCAGCGGAACGGAGCAGTCTCACCATGAAAGATGCCGAAGCGGTCATGGTCGAGCAGCCTCAACAGGGTAAGACACCGGCGTGTTATTGCTAGTGGCTGCCTTTACAACCATGTCAACAGCCTCCACAAGGGCTTACAGTATTTTACGTATTTCTTTTTAAAGAATAGAATATTCTAGTGAAACAGGAGTAGGAGCATAACGTCATACGTGCATTTTGGATTAATATGTATGCCCTTTGGTATAAACAATGCAACCCCCTGCTGGTTGTTCAGATATGTTTCCCTAAATCAGTAACAGTTACAATTTAACCCGTGCTATAAAATGTCAGAATATTATTGTGTAAAAGTAAACTGCACAGACTGAAACTAAATTGTACAAATTACAATAAATGTTTTGCGAGATGTGATTTATCATTTCATCACTTAAAAAACATTTTGTTTAATGAAAATAAAGTAACCATGTACATAGCAGTGCACCAGCTGTGATTAGTTTGTTTACTCATTAACGTTACATTTCAAACAATGTGAATTGGATTCAGATTCTCTGATGTCTTCATGACTGTTTGTTGGATGAAACATTAAGGAAAATTACTCACGGTCATTCAGTCACCAAATGGAATTTAATTATTTCCATGTATTGTTCGATCTATTGGTCCCTTAATATAATAAATCACATATAAATATAAACTTATGCATACCCCTGTGCCAAGTAAGGAGTTAGAGTGGGTATTATGAACTTACTGCTTATAAACACTGATTAATGTGTTATAAGGTGACAATGCAAATGTAAAATCTAATAGAAAATATTCACTTGTCCTGCAATATGGTAGATAATTTTTTTGTCTTACTCAGCTGCATTCCTAATATTTCACTAAAATCCACCTATTATATATTTATTCGTTTATTGTTGTTTTACTTCGGCTCTTTTGATTTGTGGTCAAATGCGAGCGGAACAATTTATGTGATTCTCTTTGGTTCAAAAGATTTCTATTATTCATTGACGATGAGAAGGACTCCTGTCAACGTGTGTTCCGGAATGTTCCGTCTACGAGAACATCGCACTATCCATGCACTGACGGTCTTCCTCTGTCCCCAGCCCTGTGGTCCGACTTCCTCCAGAGTGGCCTGCAGATCCGCATGGCGTGCTGCGGTGGGTCCGCCCCCCCCGTGGCCTCCCCCACGGCTTTTCCGAGTAAGTTTTTGTGCCTCATCAGCGATGCTTCAGTTCCCCCCTATGCCAGAGCGGCAGGATTCCGTTTGCCCTGAAGAACTAATTACAGATGCAATGCAGGGTAGCTAATTCTCCAACGCCACCTCCGCTGGGCCTATTCAGCAGATGCACCGCAATTTATCACGTGCTATTGGTGGTTCCTCGGGAGGTGGTGGTATTGGTGGGGTGGGGGGTGGAGGGGTGTGCTTTTATTAACATGAAGTTCTTACTCCCCCCCAGCCCTGTCTAAATCAACCCCCAGCTTCTTTCTGCCAGAGTAGTTTACAATCAACATTAACGGCCCTGGAAAGATTGCCGCCGTTCCTGGCCAGTCTCCCGCCACTCTGATCTCCCGTGGTCCGACTGGGCCATAGTCAGGCCTTCAATGGGGAGTAATTGATTTAAAAAAAAAGTATAGAGCGATGTTAATTTGAGCACAAAGACGTCAGTGAGCGTGCCCACTGCCTGCGTAATTTATACGTATTCCTACACTGCTGATGACCCTGTTAATGAGATTAAGCGTCTGTCTGTGCCAGCCCCTGACTGGGGTACGCCATCATTTTTCTGCCATAATCCTCGGCTTCGTGCTCACGAGCCTCGTTCCGAGGGCACGCTCCGACATTGTTTCTCATTGTGAGCCGCGTTGCTGACTGATTAATGTGATTAATGTGTCAAGTATGACTTTCATAAAGCGGCCTGTGGCGTTGTTGTTTTTTTTTTTTTTCTGTGCTGCTGCTAAGCCCACAAATTCATGATGAGGAATGGGGTGGGGGG